TTAGAAAACGAATCGAGGACCTTTGAAGCAGTCTTTTGTGTGACCTATTATTTGATCGCGAATGAATGTCTGGGCACATGTAGACGAACAACAGACTGGTCGCCAGCCAGCCTCAGGGCACAAACAATGACGTAGCCACCAGCCAATGTCAAAGATTCAGCAGTCTCATAAAAAAAAAAAGTGGTTCCTTTAACTGAGGAACTTCCCCCAGCCAGGCTTCCAAATCATTGGCTGTAGTACTCTGTGTGGAGACGTTTTTACTGTTAATTAGTTCACTGAAATAAAGCTTGAAATGTGCGTGTGTGTTGATTTTGCAAAGCAGTATGAGCGTCATGGTTTTACAATACATACTATACTAGGGGTCGGCAACCCAAAATATTGAAAGAGCCATATTGGACCAAAAGAACAAATATGTATGGAGCCGCAAAAAAATTAGAAGCCTTGTCATGAAGGCAACACATGCTATATGTAGCTATATTAGCCTACTATCAAAATTACTAAGTTGGCTACAAATACACAATGAGCCTTCAAGTCAAGTCAATTATTGTCAAATGTGCTACAGATTAAATTTCTTCCCTCTCAAGACAACATAAAACAAGAGGAGCCGCTGCGGTTGTCCGCGCCGCCATCAAAGAAAAGTTAACATAAAATGACAAAATAATACAAGACAATACATTAGACACAGACAATCGTGCAATCTTAACCACTTTCTTGCATACACTTCGTTGTCTGAAGCAGTTATAGATGAAAGAGGAGCGACTCAAAGTGTCCTTTTCACTAGTGGATCAAAGACGTCATGCTGCAATGTGCACACGTCTGCTACAAGCCAAGCTTGAAAGCAACAAGAAGCTGTAGCATCCATTCATGGAAAAGAGAGATTGGCTCTTTTCTCCTGTCCCATGTAAATCCGCTTCAATTCCAAGCCGCGACTCCCAGTTCCACATTCGCATTCATGATCAAATGTTTTTTTATCCCTGCAGTGCATCCTCTCGAGCAGGGATGCCCAACCTTATTTGACTGAAGATCTACTTTTCAATCAACCAGCCTCTCGAGATCGCCCCGTTACCGCACGCACTTACACACGCATGCCATAATGAGCAACAGCCATAACGGCCCCTGAGACGAACAAGGCATGGGACGCACTTTTGCAGCGTGTTAACTACCGTAGCTCATGTGGACCGTTTAAAAATGCTTCTCTCGGCCCTCCAGATTCCCATTCTTTGCCAGTACCCTCGGTGAAATGTACATGAAATGCTGTTTTTTTTTTTTTTGAATTTACAACAGCCACCTGCCTGACATCCCTCCCTGCTCATAGAAACGTGTGTCACAGGCTATGCCGCAAATCTTCGTTGACAGAAATATTGAAATGTAATATTTCTTCGACACATTTTTACAGCATTGGAAAACGTTAAGAATGTTTATGTCAGGTGTCTCCTTCTACAGACACCACATTAAAACAAAAAATGTATTTCATTCCTCCATCTTTTTCATGTGGGCAAGGAGAGCCACACTCGCCAATGCAATTTCAGCCATTTATTGAACAAATACAAATATAAAATGAAAACACGAGCAAAGAGCTAAATTATGCAAAATGCATGTTCAGAAACTTAAATGAAGACTAAGCACCACCTTCCCGATGTCCCTCACTAGGCCACTCCCCTTAAAGGCAAACATTCAACACCATAGCACATTCGTTTACATTTTCTTCTCTCAATTGTTTCATACAATAGAGTGCGATTGTCCTTTCTTAAAAACATGACCAAAAAAAGACAACAACGGGCTTCGCTTGATTAATGGCATTTCAGTTTGTCTCAATGGGGAACACCGATTTGAAACACTTTTTTTGACTCACGGTGATGTTCAGTAGCTCGCTGTGCCGTGTGAAGAAATACATTTCGATTCAGTACATGAGGTCGGCGGCGCCACCGCTCGGGTCGGAGTCTTTCCCCCACAACATGGGGAAGTTCATCCCCGCCAGTCGAATCACCGCCACATTGAGCACGTGCAGGAAGAAGACGACGAGGAGGCTCCAGAAGCAGACGTCAAAGCGCTCGCCGTGCGTCTGGAACACGAAGGTCACTTCCTCGAAGTTGGCGATGCGCTCCGACAGACGCTCAATCTTCACTTCGGACGCAAACAGAACCACAACCAGGAAGCTGCACACACCTGCCAGGAGGCGGAGTCGGGATATGATCGACAGTTATGTCTGAAAAGTACCGTATTGGCCCGAATATAAGACGGCCCTGATTATAAGACGACGCCCTATTTTTCAAGACTCAAGTTTGAAAAAAGACTTTTTGAACACCAAATTAATGTTTATACAGAAAATAATTACAGTACATCTGAAACAAATGATTATAACAATATATTTGAGAGAAAAAGCATGTTATTTTGCCTCATTCAAATCTTAACATGTGAACATTTTTAAATATGTAAACTAAAGTGCAATCACATTCGTAAATGAATGGCTTCTGGTTTTTGAAATATAAATTCTTTCTTATTCTCACTCAGTGTGATAAACGGTTTGGATGAAAACAGATCTGATATCCTGGCAGCAATTGATAGAAGAGACACAAAGCTCTTCTTCCACAGCTCTCATTCTTTCTGTTTTTAGTTTTTTTACAGCAGTCAGGCTATTGCTTTAGCCGCTTCGGGTCCCGTAAAAGTAAATCCAACTAAAAGATAACTTTCGTTGTATTGCCTCGCGCCGGAAACTTCGCTTGTCTAGTAGCAGAAGGCGATTAGCTAGCTGCTGCTGCTCCCTGCCGGTATTGAAGAGTACTACAGGCACTAGACCGCACAGACATACATATTGGATAATTTCCCACGGCACACCTGACAATATCTGGTGTGCCGCGGCACAGGGTTTGAAAAACACTGCTCTAAATTGTCCCGAGGTGGGAGTGTGAGCACGAATGGCTGTTTGTCTCTGTGTGCCCTGCGATTGGCTGGCAACCAATTCAGGGTGTGACCCGCCTACTGCCCGAACGCGGCTGGGGAGAGGCTCCAGCATGCCCGTGACCCTCATGAGGAGAAGCGGATTAGAAAAAGGGAGGATAATACCGATTGAAGAAACACAAAGGTGTGCTACACACCCCAAGCCACTTGATGGCAATGTTCACCTCATCAACTTGAATGCTTTGAACAACAGTCCTGCTTAATAATCATCTTAATTGCTCACAGCAGATGGACGTCCACAAGTAAAGTCCCAGAGGGCCGTGCAGCGTCTCGTAAGGACGTCCAAAGGCGTTGAAGAAGAAGAAGCCGCTTGAAACGGACGAGAAGACGATCAATGCGCTGCAGAAGAAGATGATGGTCACGTGGAGACCTGCTGGGATGGCGCCCATCAACTCTGAAAAGACTGCCGCACCCACAAAAAAAATGATCCAACTTGACACACGCGACGGGGACATTTCATTAAAGACAATTAAAAGACAGAGCGAGGACATTTCAACAGTGAGGACAACATTGAAGACACACAGACACGAGGTTGGCAACGTGTGGAGGCCGACGTCGTTGCAGTGAAGCAGTGAGGCAGAAACAATGGCAGGTCATTGAGAACTTGTTAGCGCTGGATCACTGCTCTCACATAACGTGAGACAATAAACTTGTCCACTCGTGTCCACAAGTTGTTCTCCTGTCACTTGTGCAGACAAAATGCCAAGCTTGCTCGAAAACGAAGCGAGGACTTTTAGAAAATTAAAAAGAATGACGTTGAATTTCATCCACTTCCTACACCGTGTCACATATCATATCAAGTCGTGTACAGTTACATGTGACCAAAACATATGGAAGCGATATTTACGTCTTCAATGTCAACAAGTTTTTGAATAATTGAAGGAAGCCACTGCGGTCTTTTATTATTGATGAGCTGAAACTTTAGCATGTTCCTGTTTAACACTGAAATACAGGCATGTGTATACACCGTGTGGCCTTTATGCATCCATAGATGCAATATATGTCCGGGACCATCACAATATAAAAAAAATGTAGAAAACGAAATGGATTTCAGCGGTTCAAGTGAAAGAGTAAAACTCAAATTATACTGTAGTGTCACTGCACACGGGTTTTATAATTTCTTGTGATTTGATGATTATTGTTTAGCTACAGCTAATGAAAACCCAGGTTACTACCCCAGATATGAGACATAGATGTTAGTCTTAAGTAAACAATCTTTTTTTTTTTAATTGGGGAGGGGGCGGGGGTAGCAATTGGCCTCCTGCAAAGTAGATGTGTTTATGAGTCATTACAGAACTGGCGGACAATTGAAGCAGCACCATGTTAGAGAACTTGTAATATTTGGGTATGTTTTCAAGAAAAGCGGGTAACAAACCCTCATACAATGAAACTAACGATAGCATTTTTAGGAGTTATTTAAACTTTAGTTTTACAGTAATATCGGTGACAAAGTTGCACATCAATGCGAACGAATTTTTAGCCGTGTGAGCTGTATATGCTAACTGGTCTAGACCAGGGGTTTCAAACTCATTTTTGTTGTGGGCCACATTTGAGTTACCGTTTCTCTTGGAGGGCCGTGTTGACTGAAACCATATAAAGAAGTCAAGAATAACGGTTTATTCACCTATTGTTTAAGTGACTGTAATGAGGGGTTTGGTCACAAGAAAATGCTTACAGTATCACTCTTCATTAGAAATGAGAATTTGAAATTTTGGTACAGATTTTATCAAGCATCATGAAAGTTGACTGATTTGCTTTCGCGGGCCACATCAAATGATGTGGTGGGCCAGATCTGGCCCCCGGGCCTTGAGTTTGACACCTGTGGTCTAGAAGAAACTTAGCTCGGCTCTATCAAGAAATAAATAAACCCAATGATAAAATGTCTTTTTCTGATCATAAGCAAATATTTTATATATAAAATGAAAACAATTGTGGAAAAATGTTACTTGAGAATCGTGAGGTCCTGCCGCCCAAGCCGCAGGTCTTCACTCTCTCTCCGTGGAAGAGTCCGTAGGCGAGACGTCCCACGAACTTGTCGAGCTCGCTCCCGGTCGCGTTGACAAGCTCCGCTCCGGTTCTGCACAGGACGAAGCCGTCCAGCCAGCGAGGAAGTCCAGCGCAGACGGCGGCCGCCAGCGCGCAGCACGCCGCCAGAGCGCCTCCGAAGCTCAGCAGCAGACGCTTGTGTCGCCGCGTCGCAGCCATGGCCGGCCTGCCCTCAATTACCCCCCCCCCTGCCTCGTCTCCATGGCGACCGCGCCGCGCGTCTGTCCAGGGGCGGAGCCGGAGAATGTGGCCGGGGTGACCCAAGAGGTCAGACAGTGTGGAGACCCGCTAATCGAAAAGTTTTTTTTGTTTTTTTTTAATTCGGTTTGGAGGTTGCGAGTTCAAATCTGAGCTCCAAACTTTTGCTGTGGAGTTGGGAAATCTCCCCATGCTTTTGCTTCGTGTATTTTGGCTTCCTGTCATATGCATTTTAGGTTCATTGGTGACACTAAATCAGTCGTTAACCTTTTTGGTACTGAACCCTTCAAAATTTGAAAAAAAAAAACCATGCCTCAATGAAAATTGACTGCAAACAAATGTCACCTTGGAATGTGCCACTTTACATTTTCCTTTCTTTGTTTTCATGTCTACCATTCACAAAAAAAGATTGACACTCGGATTTGATGACACCAAGACGCTAAGGCTGAATTCATTATCTTTTAAAAGTAATGATGCTACATTGTCTTTTGTTAACCACAGATGTCATTTTTGGGGGGTTTTCAGGATATGATCAGATGATCGGAACAGCCTACAAGCCAGAAGGCCGAAAAGACCAAAAACTGTCTCGAACTAACGCAAAGCAACGCCGGGAATAGAAACAACAGGGCGTCCATGGACATTGTGACGTGAATTTAACCAATACGGAGGAGCGCAGTGAGTTCAACGATTGCCCACACTTTGGTTTCTAACGGCAACAGCGGTAAGCTTGCCCATATTTGGTGGTTACGTAGCAGCCTATCAAGAAGTAGCGTGGATGGATGCTTTTACCATTGGTTGGCCTATTGCTGTCAACATTTTGAAATCACTCCGCCGACCCCTCTCCTATTGGATGCGTCGCGCCCTCTGAAGTCACAGCGCGCCCAAATTGAACATTATAGCGCCCCAACAACTCAGTAAATTAGCATAAATTTGCATTCCTGTTCTTGTAATTAGAGTCATACTGAAACGTCTTAAAATACCGTAATCGTTCGGTCACTGTACACACATCCACAAGCACAACACACATATTTGCCGCGGCCCACTTCCTCCATCCAGCCCAGGAAAGAAGATCAGGCTCAGCTGAGCGTAGCGTTGCGGTCCACCTTCTCCATCGTGGTCCTGATCCAGCTCAGGAAGTTTCCCAAACGTGTAAAGACGCCATATTTGCCTTTGGCGGCGCAGCGCTCGCCCCAGCTAACCACGCCAGTTAGGAACCAGGTTCCCCGGTAGTTGACTACGAAGGGACCGCCGCTGTCCCCGCTGCACGCGTCCATGGGGGCATCTACGTAGCCTGCGCAGAACATGTTGTCTGTGATTACCTGTAAGGGGGAAGGGAGGATGGGG